CCCCCTGGGCAACTATTGTGTGCCTGCAGCATTCCAGGCTCTTGTAATGGAGACAGTGAGTGAAGGGTAGGCATAACCCGTCCATAGATTAGATGTTGTGGGTTAGGGACAAAGCCCAGGTAATGCAGGTAAGGGGTGGAGAGTGGAGGCCACCGTCAGAGTCAGGCGGCCTTGTGGAGGTGGTGACATGTGAGCAGGCACAGGGGCAGCCAGGACAGCCTGTGCAAAGGCCCTGGGGTTGGAATGAACCACTTGTTTGAGTCGCTGCCAGGGACGCATCTGGCTGGAGCTGGGAGGTAGGTGGGTGTAGAGAATCTAGGAGATGAGATCAGAGAGGAAAAGGGGCCATGAAAGCCACCTGAGGAGTGTTGTTTTAGGTGAGTGAATAGGGGAGATTTGGAGCATTTTGAACAGCTGTGTGACAACGATGCTGGGAAGGTACTGCTGAGACAGCAGCAGAGACCAGGCAGGTGATGGGGTGTTAGAGGGCACGAGGGGTCCCATCTGGCATATCCTAATGGGCTGGATGTAGGGGTGAGAGAATGGCCACTGGTAAGATGGACCTGTCATCACCTGATGTGGGGAGGTGAGCTGGGGGCAGGGGCTGAGCTGGCTGCAATGGTCGACCCGTGCCTGACAGGCAGCGGGGTATTCAGACCTGTAGCCCTCTGCAGACGCAGCATGTGAAAGCCCAGCTGAGGGAGGGGACGCAGGCAGAGGCCCAGGGACGGAGCCAGGGAGTACCCACCGGGAAGAGCTCAGGATCAGGCTAAGGAGAAGCCCCAGAACGTTCCACCAGCAGGGGCAGGTGTCAGGGATGGCGGAGGGATGGGCGGTGAGGGGAGAGCTGAGCTGACTGGGCTGGAGCCTTGAGGAGGGGCCGTCCCCCCAGCCTGCCATGATGACGAACTTCAGGTATGTGCCCACATGTGGTACATTCACTGTACTCTTAACATTTCAGACACACGCACTCTGATACTTTCCCAACATTCCTGGCTGTTCTTGTTTAGTTTTCCATATAAATTTTGAAATCAGAATATCTAGTTATTTTGCGAGGGTCCTATGTAGTCTGATTTCTGTCTCTGTGTCTCTTCCAAGAGAAGGGCCGCCAGTTAAGGTGGTCATTCTTATGGGGGTGGGGATGGGGGCCCCCAGGACTTTTCTCCAGGACACTAGCAGTTCCTGCAGAAACTTTGGCTGCCACTCCTGAACTGGCACACAGTGGGGCGAGGCCAGGGGTGCTGCCAAATCCTGCACAGTGCACACGACAGCTCTCCAGAGACTCGGCTGGTCTGCGGTGCTAATAGCTCCATGCTGGAGAAACCCAGCCTTAGCTGCCTGCAAACTGGCCTTCTGCCAAGGGCCCCCTACCTTTCCTTGCCGAGTGCTAGGCCGTTTCAGGGGACTGAACCTTCTCAAATGCTCTAGAGGAGCCACACAGTGACACACAGTGGTGCAGACACCTTCATTCTCTCCAGCTGCCCGGGTTCTGACCCCTCCCGGATGTGGAGACACCGCAGGCGGTGGCCCAGGTATCCTGTAACAGGAGCCAAACCAGTCAGACTCTTCTCTCCCAGCTCCCCTTTCAGCTCCAGTGCAGGTGCGCCAGCCAAGACTGGCCGGCATGTCAAAGGGTGTAGGGGCCCTTCTGCCCGGAGGCTGAGGGAGCAGGCGGCAGGCTCTCTGCTGCAGGACGGGGTGGCGGCAGTGAGTTGCTCACCAGGCCGGTCTGAGGCCGGCTGGGGCACTGTGGGGCAGGCTGGCACTAAGCCTTGTCTGCCTGGCAGTTGTGTGTGCTTTTAAATGCCTTTTTGATTGATTCCCCTTTACTTTCAATACTGTGTCCACTTCTGTTGCTTGCAACAAAGAATCCTAGCTGACCTACGCTGATCATTTTGTGAGAAACACCAGGGGCCAATGAGATTTTCAATATCGATTTATGAGGCTTTCTACCCTTATAGAAAAGTTAAGTGGGAAGCCTCCAGTATCCAAATATACAAGTTCCCTCCCCAAACACCAGGTACAGTCAGATACTATGATTGTCAGTCAGTACTTACAAGTCTGTGTGCGAGGGATATGATGTGGACCCATGGTCTAAAATCATGGAACTGAATTTGAGAAGGCTCACACACACACACACACACACACACACACACACACACACTCTCTCTCTCTCTCTCTCTCTCATGGAACTGAATGTGAGAAGGCTCTAACACACACACACACACACACACACACACACACACACACAATCTTTTTGGTCTTAATAATTTTGCTTCTTTGGGAGTAAAATGGCCTGGTGGTGATCACCTTACAGTAATATGTTAGACAAAGTCCGCTGCCTCCATGTGATAGCTGTTGTCAGGCAGAGGAAAGAAACCCGTTACCAGAACTGCTGGTGGTGAGTTGAGAGCAAGGAAGAGAAAGACAAGGGGAGAAGAACATAGAATAAATTTTTTCCCTGGAAGCAAAATCAGTCCGGAGTCCTTGTCCAGTGAGGAAGCACACGCCTTTGTTCTGCACCACCCCGGGGCGAGGGCACGGCATGCTTCGGTTCCCCCTGCATTCTAGCTGCGCCTCTCCCCTGCCCTGTTCAAGTCCCTGTTTGTGACCCCTCTCCGACAGAAATGTGGCATTCTCCTGCCCTCTGGACGCTCCCGTTTCTCTCCCGGCACCCCTGAGAAATGAGGCCGAGGGGAGAAGGCAGAGCCAGCACAGGGCTGCCCAGGTCAGGGTGCCTCAGATGGGAGCCCTGTGCGCTTGCTGTCTGGATGGCATGTGTGGCCCATGGCCCATGTCAGATGCAGAGGGACCGTCAGGGAACTGCAGTAAAGCCAGGTGGGCCGGGGTCCTCAGGTCACCATGGTGACACACCGTCCCTGGGCGAACTGAGCCATTAGACCAAGTGGTGATATTTGCCTGGCGTACAGAACGTACTATAGACTCTTGAACATGGTTTGCACTGTTTGGGTCCACATATACATGGACTTTTTCAAAATACCAGAGAAATTTTCTGATTTGAGACATTTGAAAAAACGTTTTCTTTAGCTGCCATTGGAAGAATACAGTATACATACATATGCACTGTGTCATCGGGAAGGCTTCTTGGTCAACAGCCGGCTTTTAGTAAAGTTTTGGGGAGTCAATAGTCCTGTGCGGACTTCTGCACAAGGTCACCCCTGCTGACACCTCCCTGCTCTCACTGCTCCCGTGGTGGTGAGGGGCCCAGTTTTTAGGGTCTGGTGACAAAGATTCCCAAACCTGGAGGAAAAACTGTAATTGACTAGTCTTCTCCAGGGGCAGATCTGTGTAGATTTTGTGCACCTGAAGCTAACATAACTGGGGTGTGCAGGGAAGATTTTTCTGAGATTAGAACTCTGAGTGAAGACAAAATTAGCTGCAGTATAACTTTGTATTTAGAGTGGAAAAATACAAAACAAATTACAAATTTTAAAAAGGTAACAAATCCCACAAACGGCACAGAGGCTGGGTGAGTAGCGCCGTCTGTAGTAACAGACGCTCACTAGAACTTTCTCCCATGGTTCTAGGCTCTGTGCCCTGACCATCTCTCCTTAGGTCCTGGATTTTCCGTGTTTTCTATAGAGAGGGGTAGTTCAGTGTTTTCTCCAGTATGCTTTATCAAAACTTCATTACTGAGATCTTAGATTCTCTCAGCTTCACAGCTTGCTGTTGGTAATGTAAAATTTTAGAGTTCTTGTCAGATCTCTGAAAACCTGTCAGGTTCATTGCAGCCCCAAGCCCTAGGTCTAGGAAGGGCACCTCCCACTTCCCACTTCATTTCTCCTGTCCACTGTGCTCTTCGGGGGGGACACAGCTGCTGGGCCCATACCTCTGCCCCAGGCCCACACGCTTGGCCACAAATCGTTCCCTAGATGGCCACGGCTGACTGTGCTCGAAAGCGACGGGAAGCCGTGTCAGATTCCCACAGCCGGACCCTACAAGTGCCACCGCCACCCAGAGCCACCCAAAGGGAAGGGGGTGGGCAGTGCCAAGCCCTGAAGCTCAGGCCTCACTAGTGCTCTGACAAACCTGTCTCTGGCCAGAGCTCAGGGGGGCAGCAGCCTATCCTGCTGGGCCGGGTTCTGCCGGTGACATCAGGGCAGGCCTGGTGGGGCTGAGGAGACACGGGAGAACCCGGGGTCGTCCTCCTCCTCCTTGGATGCTGTCAGGAAAGCCTGGGCTTGGCAACCTTCTTGCAACTTGGAGGAGAAAGGCCAGACCTTCCTGAGGCTACCCCCAAGCCGTGGCGTTGTGGAGCGGCTGGCTTGGCTGGCCTTCTGGGTTTTCTGTGTCTGAAGCCTCAGGTGTCATCCTTGTTTAAGGCTCTTCATCGGCTTTCTGCTGGGTGGAGCTGGAAGCGTGTGCCTGGCAGACAATGACGGTGGGGAGACTCCACTCGGGAGACCTAGGCTTGGCCTCTGGCCTCGGTGCTTCCCACCTTCCGACGGGCCGAGGGCCTTCACTGTCCATGGGCCCCAGGCCTCCCTGTCTCCAGAGGCCATTCCTAGCTAGACTCCTACTTCTTGGAACTACTTCAAAAACCTGAAAGAATCTAAGTCTCAAACCCAAGGCTGGAAGAGGAGGTGATGCTTTTCAGCCCTCTTTCCTTGACTGGGATTCTCTACTGGCAGCCAGGTATAGACGTTCTCAGGAGCTGAGGCAGCGCAAGGCAGCTGGCATCGCTGATTTCCGAGGGGAGAGCTGCTTGCCACCCTCCACTGGGCACCAGCCCGCACTTGGGAGATTGCATACCCCTCGCAGAGTGAACGGAACAGCAGTGACCCTCCTGGAGGAGCCAGAATGGGCTGCACCCCCCAACCCCAGCCCCTTCTCGGTGTTTGGGGAGCAGCTCCCTGGTCCCTCCCCTGTGTTTGAGGAGCATCCCCACACCCCGTGTCACTTCCCTGTTTCCCAGCTGGAGCCCTTCTCCCTTGTCTGCACCTTTGTTGAGGTGGACAAGGGCAAGGGGAGGGAAGAAGGCCAGTAAACAAGCCTGCTGCCCCACAGTCTTCGTGGACAGTAAGGTTCATGTCATGGGCAGAAATGCCCCTCGGGCAGCTGGAACTCACTGGGAGGGAGGAGAGTTCTGCTGACCAGAGGGCCTGGTCAGTGCTGACCAGGCATCCACAGCCTGGGAGGACTAGGGAGACCACAGATGGGCTGCAGAAAGGTCAGGACAGGGAGGGATCTTCCAGAGACAGAGTGTCAACAGCCTGAGTGGGTCGCCATCGTTTCCGTGGTTGGCACTGTCTGTGGACGCACCATCCGAGGCAGCTGCTGCCGGGGCTCAGTGCTGCCAGACAGGGCCCCTCCTATCCAAAGAGGTTGGTCCCAGCTTCTGCAACATCATGAAATGCCCTCAACTGTTTTCAACTACAGTACATTTTCATGAAGCACTTTTATGTGCTAGCAGTTGACAGTGTTTTAATACTGTGCCGTTCATATTGTAACCTTGTTCAGAAGGAAGGTGCAGGTCAGAAGTTCCTGGAATTTTCCAGATCTGCAGGCAGATCCATATCCCAGTTCCCCTAATATCTCAGCCTCTGATCCAACAGGCTTTACTCATCCCGCAAACAGGAATCAAGACTGAGGGCATCAGAGACTAATCATACATAAATCAACACGGACATGAAGGTTTTCACTGACAGACCACAGAAAGGGCACATAATCAGTACAAGAATAAACCTAAAACAACTGATGTGAAATACTAACCTCGGGGTAACCATTTCTTTATTAGAAGTTCCCAGGTCCCATGTCAGTTAACAAGATAGCTGACACATAACCTCTTCGAACATCTCCAGGACATGTAGGTCCTCCACCCCGTCAGCCGTCCCCAGGGGCAGAGGAGCTCCTCAGGCGCAGTCAGAGTGGAGCAAATTTGAAGAAACTGAGTCAGCACAGGAACCGGGCACCTTGCCGGGCAATGCTCTCCCACAGGAGGGCTGGCCCATGTGCCTGCTGCCGAGGGGTGGCCCAGCACCACAGCATCCGTGCTGGGCTTTAGTCTCATGGCCTCAGCAAGCCTGCGCCCCCCATGGTGGCTGCATTTCCACAGGCCTGAGGTGGCCCTGTGAGTGCAGCTCTCTCAGGAGCTCCGTGGCCAGCTGTCTTGGCTGTGGGGCTTCCATACAAACACGGTCCCACCTGCATACAGTTTGGTCAAGAAAGCCAGCGATTTCGTGTGTTATCTCCTCAGTTGGAGCCATCTGCAGTGAGACAGAAGAAGGCGGATTACAACACCCCCAGAGGCTCTGCCCAGCAGACCAGCCATAACCACCCTGTCCCCGACAAGCAGCCGCATCCCCTGGGCTCCAAAAAGCCGTTGTTTTGTTTTCAAGGAGATAAGCACAGCAAATCTGTTCTCAGAGGTGGGCCTCCAGTGAGCAGGGATCACTGCCCGATGAAAGATCAGCCTGAGACACCCCACACCTACAGACACACACCGAGACTCCTGGAATGTCCGCCCAGCTGCGGGCTTGTTCGCTGTGAGGAGCTAAGGCTGGCGAGCCTCATGCGCAGGCTGGTATGAATACAAGAACTGCAAAACGCCCCCTGCTCTCACACAGCTTCGAATGGAATTTCCAGGCTAGCAGCCTGGGCCCACTTGTTTTATAATAGGCATCCCAGCCTTTACCACCTGCTCCTCAAGGGCAGCAGGAAGCACAGGAGTGTTTGCCCTGCTCAGTGCACCCCAGGCGTCCATTGGTGCCCACAGGTGATTTCCTAAGTGTTTCAGTACAGCTGCAAGGGGCGGGCGCAATCTGTTCAATGCATGAAGAATTTACTGTGGCTTACTAGACCTGAGCACATTAAGGGGCCTGCTGTGAGAGTGATCTACGTGTTTGTTTCTGAGTTGGGTTCTACCAAGTCCTGAGTTAGTACCTACGTGGCCACAGTGGCCAAAGCCAGCTTCCCTCCATGTCCACACTGGGGCCCCTGGTGGGGTGGCCAACCACCCCAGTTCATCCAGGGTAGTGCCACAGCCCGAGATGCCCTTCAGTCCTAGGTCAGCCCTGCAACCTCCGGTCTGGGCAGACGTCTTGCAGCATGGGTAGTGCAGGGCACTGGGTGGCACAGACATGGGCTCTCCTCAACCGTCCAAGCTGAGGGGCTCCGCGGCCAGCCTGGTGGTTCACTGTGGCTCCTGCTGTGTCGTTGCTTGGTTTTCACTCAGAAGTCCCAGGCCCTGGAGATGACCTCTGTCAGATGCAGCCTGTGTTCTTTATGATGGAACATGAGCCTCTCTCAGATTCCTTAAGGGGGGTATTTACTACCCAGATCTGGGTGGGGGACACAGCTTCTTGCTCCACAGCCCAGGGAGTCCAGGGGCCCTGCCGTGCAGGGTGCAGGGCAGCACAGTCATCCTGGATGACTGGAGGTCGCCTCATTGACCCCAAGCTCCCTTCCAAGCCAACTCCACTCCCACAGTCCCATTCAAGGTCTCTAGTCATAGAGAAAAACCTGGCTCACTGCAGCCACATAGGGGCTTGGCCCAGGTGCGTGAGCATGGGGTTAAATTCATGTTGAGTTCAACAACTACAGACGTGAGCCCTGTATTTCGGGTTCCAGCTGACTTGGGCTGTCACTCTGTGGGCCCACAGCAGAAGACAGGAGACCACAAGAGAGGCAGGAGCTGAGCCTCGGAGGCAGAAGGAGCCCAGACACTGACTAGGTTGCCCTGGAGCGGTGCAGAGGGGAGGGGGATGTGGAGGGTAAAGGAGGAAAGTGAGCGGAGCGGGCCCGGGGCTGAGGCGGAGCAGCAGGCAGGAAGGAGCAGGCGTGCTGAGGAATGAGCTCAGGGGGAACTCTCAGAAACCCGAAGCCCACAGGAACTGACCCCTGGGCCTGTGTGCAGAGCCCAAGGTGTGGTTTGTGAGGAGCCACCTCCCACAGGGGCCAGGATGCAGGGCGATCTGGGGAGGCTGGCAGGTTGGGCACCTGCAGCCCCTCAGAAAGGCAGGGCTGGCTGCACGGGGGCCCGCTCAGAAGAGGCATGGAAAGCCATGAACAGAGGGGCTTGGATACAAGCCTCTGCACTCCCCAGCCCAGAGCACGCGCAGGCCTCCAGAGCCAGGAGACAAGGTCAGCAGCCAGGCCAGCATGCTGGCTCTGCTCAGGCTTCTCAGAGTTCACAAGGAAGCTGAGCCCAGGGCCTGACGGCTACAGGCAAGGCCGTCCTACCAGACACTTCCAGCATCTAGCGCCCCCCCTCCACTCCCTCCTGCTCCCAGGCCAGGCAGGCCTGGCCTCAAGGTTCACTCCTGGTGTGGCCATGATAGGCCTGATGCACTTTGAAGGCAGAAGATGCTCCATTGTGCGCACAGTTCATGTCTGTTGATGGACATTTGGGTGGCTTCCACCCTCTTCCTATTGTGAATGCAGCCACTATGGAGACAGGGACCAGTGTCTGCTTGAGGCCCTGCTTTGAGGTTGGATGCTGGACACACAGTAAGTCCACATTTACCTTTCTGAGGCCCCAGGCTCTCTGCATCCTCCCCAGCAGGAGTGATCTGTGTCTAATCGTCAGCCTCCTGGGGCGGGTTGGGGTTGGGCAGCATGCCTTCGTGTGTCCACTGGCCATGTGAACAGCTTCCTTGGAGAAATGTCTGCAGATGTGCCCATTTTTGGACTGGGTTTTTGTTACTGTTGAGTTAAGTACTTCCTATGTATTCTGGGTACTAAGCTCTTATCAGATACATGATTTCCATATTTTCCTCCCATTCTGTGAGCTGTCTTTTCAGCCTCTTATCTTGTCTTTTGATGCACCAAAGTTTTACAGTTTGACAAAGTCCAGTTTCAGTTTCTTTCTGTTGCCAGCGTCCTTGGTGACATTATCTGAGAGGTCATGACAGTGTCGTGAGTGGTACTCACTCTTGACTGGGGCCATTCATTCTTTACCCCTCGTGTTAGTGGGGCATCAGGAAAGAATTCATTCATAGTTAGCAAACACATTTTAAAATTAAATGAAACTTTTGAACTGCAGTGACACAGTTTCACTGCGGTCTTGTTTCTCTCATGAGGAGAAGAGGTGTGTGCTGTGACACCAGTGCAACCAGGAGGACATGGGGAGGCAGGGCCTCCTTTTCCTGTGGGCCCCAGGAGATGCAGCTCCCTCCTCTGAGCCTCCATCTTCCCTGGTGACACAACAGTTCTGCCATCAGCCCCACGGGCTGTCTGTCCCTGTCTGGAACCTGGTGCATGCTCTCTTCGAAGGCCAGGCCCTCGGGTGAGTGACCCACCTGTCACCTGGAATGTGAATGAGAACAAGGATGCTGGGAACAGGGAGACTGACCAGGGTAATGACTTCGCGGGCGACTGCGTGGCCCCCGGGAGCCCAGAGCAGGAAGTTGAGGAGGAGATGCCTGATGAGCCGCTGACATGCGGGTGGCCTGGTGGCCGTGGCTCCCTGTGCTCCAGCTGCTGCCTGCACATCCCTGGCCGAGAAGGTTGGACTTCTGAGCAGTGTCGTGAGGCGGCCCAGCACTGCCTTCACCTCCACCTGGGAAGGGAGTATGATGTCAAAGGTGAGAGACTAGGAGGGGTCAGGACACGCATGTTCTTGGACGTACTGGGGACCCCAGAGCAAGCCCCCTGGAGGAGAGGGCTGGCACCGGTGGGGGGGCAGAGTGGCCCTGTCTGCGTTTACATAGCACTCCACTCAAACCCAAATGGGCGTGATGGAAATTTCTTGACTTTCTTTTGTCTTGCTCACTAAGAAGCCAGGGCATTGTGCCAGGAATTGACCTTCATTAGTATGAAAGGAAATGGAGAAAAGTCTTCAGCAGAATGTAGTCCAATTTTCATATTGTGGGAAAAGAACAAAAGGCCTCTTGAAGTCACAGGCACAGATCAGTTAAAGTCCTGTGTGGCCGGACCTCCGCTGAGCCCTTCTGATAAGAGGGAAGTTTTCCTTTTGCTTCCAGCAAGCTGTGTGGGGGCAAGCGTGCGCACAAACACCCGCACACACACACAGTTTTGTTTTAGACACTGGGACCGTCTCTTCATACAGGTTTAAAGATCAAGCAGAGGTCACAGGTCTGTGGAATCGACATAATAATAGTAACTGTTATAGGTGTGTGGGGGTTGTTTTTGTATAAAAAAACATTTATTTCGTGCTGAGACTTCTGCTCATTATAAGAATGGTACAGTTGTAACTTGGTAAACAAAGCAAAAACTTAAAGTCATAGGCCCTGAATGCCACATGGACGTCATGAGCACCTATGTGCCGTCATTTTTGGAAGAATGCTTAGGTCTATTCTGATTTCCCATGACCAATTTTATGGCTTTTGTGTTGAGGCGTTTTTTTCCTGGAAGCTCAGGCCCAGCTCAGTGAAGTCTGTCCCCCAGGCCAGCAGCGCCTGAGGAGAGCTGGGTGGGCTCCGAGCATGGCCCAGGACCGTGAGAAACGGCAGGGTGGGGCCCCTCCACCGAGGCAGGCAGCGCCTCACAGGAGGGCCCCCCATCCTCCTGGGACCCAGCCTGCCCATAAGGGTGTCTGGGCCCGGCTCCCAAAGCGCCGCCCTCGGACCCTGCCTAACGGGCCCTGGATTCCCCGCCCTGTCCAGAACTCTGAGATGCGGCCGTCTTCCTTGTGCTTCATCCCAGAGTGTCTTTCCCTTCAAATGCCTTCAGTGTCCACAAGCTTCTCCCTGACGTGCCAGTAACTATAAAATGCTTTCTGTTTTTTTCAGGAGAAAGATGTAAGCATTCTTTTCCAACTATTATTTTTATCCTGCATTATGAAAACATATATGCTCACTGTACAAAATTTGAAAGATTAAAAAGAAAATGAAAATGCCCTGTAACTCCACCATCTGCAGAGACTCAAACCAGGTTTCCATCCCTTTCATGTTTGTTCTGTGTGCAATGAACACAACACCCAGAGCACAGCCCTCATACCTTAAAACAGTTCCCACAGGCACTGGAAGCGGTCTGCCCTGCTACAGCCTGATTCTTTGGGAGCACTGTTCATAGTGGAATGCTGTTCCATGGTTAAAATATACATAAAGTTCTACTTATCTAACATCCTAACTATTGCAAGTTCAGGATATTTCCAATTCTTTAAGTCCTAGAAGTGGAACCACAGGGGCAAAGAGTATGAACCTTGCCTAATCCCTAAGGGTGTACAAACAGACATTTTTATCATAGTTAATTCAAAGCTAGCAGAAGGCGATGAGCTGTGGCTGGCAGAGACCATGGTTTGCAGAGCGAAGGGTGGGTCTTTGTGTGGAGTCCATGCCCCAGGCAGGGCCAGGGGCTACCAGCTCCCCCAGTCTTGAACCTTAAGCATGACCAGCCACACTGCAGGATCAGGGCTGCATGATAAAGTATGATTTAATTACACATTTTAAGGTGAAGGTACAGATACTACCAAGCTCAGTCAAATTACAAAATAATCATGCTTTCAAAGGCAGTTCAGTCTGTTTCCAAGTCACCCACAGACCATCAGGGGATGAAAGCTCTCAGAACCAGGAGATCAAGATGCCTGCCTAGTTAAACTAGGGGCATGAACAGCCCCGCTCACACCCTGGCTGTCACCACACCGCCGCCAGCAGCTGGGCACCAAGGGGTGTTGGGATCACATGTGAAGCATGGCTCCCGACTGCAAGACAGACGCTGCCCGAGAGCAGCTCAGGAGACGACGTCCTGGTGTCAGGCGCTCTGCGCGAATCCAGTTTCATCCAGGGTGCCTAACAATCCCCAGAGTGGGAACTATGCATAGGTTTTATTCAAACAGAAAGGCCAAGTTAACACTAGCATGTGCCAATGCAGAATTTTCTAGAAATTAAATTTTAAAGGAAAATTCATCTGTACTTCAAAAGTGAATGCCTGTGGGTTTCTGTGATCAATTTGATGAAATTTAACATGTAGCCTACCAACATTAGCTGATACAGAATCAAACATAAAGTGCATATAAATGGGCTTTGGAAATCATCAGTGCCATATATATTTTAATTATTAAAAAACTAAGATGAAAACATAAATTAGGATTTTCCTTACTCAGTGTAATGTGCTGTTTTAAGAGAGAAATATAAGGCATTCTTTTTAATCAGATAGCAATTGTCAAATACATGTGTGGATTATGATAATTTCTAAAAAATGTTCTATTTTTGATTCAAAATAAATTATCACCAAATTTCAACTTTCTAAAATCTAGGACTGTTTCATTCCCCTGCCACACAATCCCATTTAAAATAAGTAAAGCGCAGCTGTATGTGTACTGGACCCACTTGTTTCAAACACAGCGTCAGGCAACAGGAAGCTGTGTTCTCTACATCAAGCAGCCTGCTGCTGTTAGCTACTGAAATCAGCACAAACTGCGGGCAGGGCAGGTTTTAAAAACCAGCAAACAAGCTTGTAAAGGAGGCACCAATGCCTTTCATGAACGCGTTGCTCCCTGTAATTATTACACCCACAATGAAAAAATCTCTTCCTCACAGAGCCTGTACTCAGTTGCTCTATTTTGGAAATGACTAAGTCCTGTTTCAGACACTAGGGGGTTACCAGCATGTGGTTACTTTAGCAAGAGTTCTAAACATAGCAGGTAACTGAGGCTCTGTTGATGACCCAAGAAAGCAGTGGGTCAGAACGGAAGCCGATGCTGCCAGGCCACTGAGCCAGAGGGCAGAGCTCCTCAGCAGGTGGTCAGGCTCTGCAACTGGGCCCAGGCACAGCCCGGGAAGAAGAGCTAACATGGCCTTGGGAGAGCTGTGTGTGCTCAGTCCTGCAGCACCTCCCAGGCAGCAGAGGGATGGCCACCTGCGTGAGGCAGGGTAATATCTCCACAGGCTCAGCTGCACCCACTCGTCTGGGCTGATGGCTGCATGACCACAGTGACCTCAGCGCCCAGGAGCCCGGGGATAAGGAGCAGCTGGACCCACTGCAGGCTCCTTCCTGCGGGGTCTTCCAGCTCACAAGAGACGGACCCTGCATGCTGCATGCAGAGGGTCCTGCACCCACCATGGTCTGCGCTCTCTGCTGACTCCGGTCGGGTGGGCTGTAGCTGAACACCAAGAGCCACAGCAGGGCCTCAGGGGGTCCAGCTTCTGACATCAGTAACTGCTCAGCCGTGATTTCAGCCCATTCTCCAAAGTGAGTGAACAAAAACCAGCATTCAAAGGGGCCTCCACAGGACCTGGAACAGAATCAAACACAGGGCAGCAGTGCAAATGTATTCTTCCTTTTGGTTCTTAAAGGCCCTGCAGAGCTGGCAAAAGGTGGGCTTGTCCTGGTCTGACCCACTAGGTACAGCTCACAAGGAGCACAAGGTACTCTCAGCAAATAGCTCACAGTGTCACTCTGAGCCCATCTTGGGACCCTCACAGGCCTCTCTTCCACGTGTCCTGAGGAAGTCAGACATTTAAACCTGTCCGTGCAGGGACCCTGAGTGAGTCCAGGTCTAGGACAGCACAGTTTTGGCCCATGACCAACAGGAATGGTGTGTGATTAGGCCCTGCAGGAGCGTGGTGGCAGGGCTGGGCTGCTGGGTGGCGAGACACCCAAGCTGCAGCAGGGCGAGGGCTGAGGGGCTCTCTGGGGTCTGGAGAGAGACCCAACAGGGACGCAGGCATGCAGAAACATGCTATTTCCTTTCTCGTGAAACACAAGGTTCTGGTGGCAATTTTGGCAATTATGAATTTTGATTGAGCTAGAAACTATTCTTTCCTGTCCTCACATGTATGACAGTGCTGTCAGAAGCATCCTTTTGTCACCCTGGGACCTGGAAGCACCAATATTATTTACAGGGTGGAACCTGCTCAAGGTGAGGACTATGCACCTGTCAGTCAGTCTCAGGGGCTCACAGCTCCCCTGGCAAGGGCAGCAGGGCCAGCCCGAAACTGAGCTAGACCAGAGCTTTCCTTCGGAACTGGGGAGGCCCCTGGATGGGGGAGTTCTCACCCCTTGGTGGGTCTGGGCCTACTTTCCCCTGCTCGGGGTGGAAGCCATAGTGTCCAGGCACTGCCCCACCTCCCCTGGTGGCCACTCCCTCTTCAGCAGCTCCCTGAAGTCCAGCTCACAGAACAATGGAGAGAAAGGAAGGCGGGTATCACTCTCATCTGCTCGTCTCCACAAGAGGCTATGATAGGCTATGTTGTTTCTCCCCTGCGGGCCTCAGGACAGGTGAGCTGAGCAGCAAGCTTGCCCATGCTTGCTGCCCCCAGGTGGCCATGACGCCTGCATCCCGGCTTACAGCCTGCCTGGCTGAAATGGGCCTGGTCCCCCTTTCCCAGTGTGCAAGGCAGCCAGCCCTGTGTGGCTGGTGGAGAAAGTGCCAACCTGCTCCCAGCCCCCAACCACAGTCTGGGGTGGGCTGGACTGGGTCGCCTAGTGCCGTGTGGCTGGTCTCGGACCTGCTCTCCCACAAGAAGCAGTGGGCATGGGCTGGCATGTTACCACGGCCACAACCCTGATCCTTGCTCGTCTCTTCTGCCGGTGAGAATGTTGGGGGTGGGCGATTGGTGCCCAGAATGCATGAGCGACCCCAAGCAGCACCACCAGCCATTGTCTGTGATGGCGCAGTGAGGAGATGACAGAGAACTTCAGGAGGGAAACAAGTCAGAAGGAACAAATGGTCTCAGCAGGCCAGTACAGACAATGAATAGGATATTTATACTCTAAAAGCAGGGGGTTCAGAGGAAGCTAAGGGTGTCATAATACAAAGAATCAGCAAAGTGTAAATGTGACTGCTTCTTCAAAGAGGGAACACCTAACATCATGTAGAAATTATTCTTATGTTAGGATAGATTTTCTAAGTGTAGACAAGTATTTATTAGGAGGAGGAGAAAAAAGAGTTATTTTGACCTCCTATGCAAGAGAAGTTGGAATGTCCTTCCCTAGAGAAAGGACAGGCAGAGAGGACCAAGGGCCTGGAGGGGCCTTCTCATTTCAGCTGGCACAGGGGGGCGGGGACAGCAGGTGGGCACTGCTGTTGTCTAGGGTCTGTGCTGTTTCTATTACGCTGTTATATAAGCCTAGCACCACCATTACCCAGAGTCCCCACACAAGGCGTTTACAGGTGCGTCTGGACCTGCATCTACACGTGGATTTACACACACATCCTCATGGGCACCTACCTGCTTGCTCTGGGCTGCCCCAGTTTTGTCTCCCACCTCTTGCTTGGCAGGTTGTCGCCTTTTTGGACGTGGTCACAGCCCAGCTGCGCCTTCCTGTTGGAAGCTAAGGATCAAGAGAAGCTGCCCATGAAGCACACCACAGAGTCGCCAGCGCTCGCTTACCCGTGAGTCTGGTCCTCAGCTATCTCTCTGAGCATTCCAGAAATACGTTCCAGGGGCCGGTGCCACAGCCCTCGTGGGATGTCTGTGGGTGGGGAGAGAGCAGAGGGGCTGAAGCAACGCCAGACCCATCAGGAGCCCTCCCCACGGTGCCAGGAGAGTTTGGGGAAGAGGCCTTGTCCTGGTCCACGAGACCCATTCCACCTCTCATGCTGTTCTCAGCCAGGGTCCCTGTCCAGGGTGGACAGGGAAGGCCTGCCAGGGCCGCCTTGAATGAGGGCCTGGGAGCTCAGGTGCCGGCTGCCTCCCTGGGGCACAGCGACGCTCTGCTGCAGGTGCCCGGCTCTTCCTTGTCTGCCACCCTGTCTCGTGTTGGTGATTGCAAACTATGGAGACACTAATCAGAGTCAACTAGGAATTAGGAATAGGCTGCTCCACTGTTCATCTACGACTGTGATGAATTCATAATATGATTTCGGGTTTATAATGAAGAAAAAGGCCAAAAAAAAATACATGGATATCATATAAAAAGAGTCTCCAGTTTCATAAATTCCCGTGGTTTTAAACACATCTGAGCATGTATCTGCAGTTCTAAACATCTGAAAAAGGTCTGTGATTAAATCCATGAGAAAGATGACTGAAGTGACAGGAGAGCCAGTGCAGCCCCACCACCGTGACAGTGAGAATCACAGATTGGCTCCCTCCTCTGAACCCCACAACTGTGATATGCAGCCTTTCAAGGTATTTTTTTTTCTCCTTTGTATTAATTGTTTACTTATTTGATATCCCCTCTGCCTATAGCTCCTGGAGAGTCAGGGCTGCCAGTGACCCATCTTTTTATGCCCACAGGACCTTCCCATGGCCACAAAACCACTTTCTGATGAAGAGAGGATTCTACTATTAAAAAGCCCTCAATTTACTTGTTCGTTATGCTTCAGAAGATTGGAGACTGACGAGAATTAGGCTTGAGATGGATTAATGATTGTGCATTGAGCATTGACCCCCCTATACAGAATTTTATTGTTGTTAACAACCATTTGATCAATAAATATGAGAGATGCCCTCTCAAAAAAAAAAAAAAGCCCTCAATTTGAGAATATAGCATTCATTTTTTCCAAAGTAATTTGCAGAACATGGTTCTCGGCACCAGCATCAGAGTTCTTATACTTTTGCTAAAATTTACATACTGGTTTTTGGACTAAAGCTAAGATGGTCACAAAAGGCAAAGATTTGCTGGGTCTCCGCCCATATACACCTCAGGCTTTTGTTCATGGATTTAACAACTAATGCTCTGGCTCTCACAGCCTCTCCTGTAGCTGACCTTTGGCTCTGCAGACCAGCATGAGCTGTTCGTGCACCCCAAAAAGTGAACAACTGCCTTTCTACCCACATTAAATCTCGGTTGGATGCCCACAGGTGAAGTCCCATAAAACTGCTGACGAGATCTCAGCAGAGCATCTGAGGGGACGGTGTCAGATGGATCACTCTGCGTGAGAACCTACATCTTTTAGGAAAAGGAAGAGGAATCTGGGTTTTATGAAATGCTCTGCAACTATGAATCATCTGCTTTCCTCGAAGGAGTCAGTGAGTGTCTCAGGAAAGAGGCAGGCAAACCGCGGCATAAAGGCACCCTGGTTCTTGCACCCTCTCCTCCCCTCCCCCACAGTGCCTCCTCTGGAGCCCAGAGTCTCTGCCCTGGGCCGGGCTGCCACCCCTCCCATCTCAGGCTGCAGAGGGGAAAGATATCTTTATTCTCTGTCTCCTAGACAGGCTCACAGGCATGCTAAGGGGTCACCACCGATTGAATTAAGGATAGAATGCAGGGCAGCTGTGGCCTAACACACTTAACCAAGTTCTTTCAAAAGTCTTCCCTTTGCTTGGTTAGGACAAATTCCCCTAAACTTCCTGGGCATCCTTCATTGTTTTATCTTTTCTTCTACAGTAAGGGGATGGAGTAGGAAGAATGAAATACAAATAGATGTACTGTCATATTCTAATGCAGCCAAGTCTTAGCCTACTCCCGGCATCTGGGTTATGGAAACCTGACTCCAGGCCATTGTTTTGTTTCTCCTTCTCTTGGTAAGTGGTCATAACTGTGAGATCCTGAGAGCTTCAGGAGGTCAGAAAGGGCCAATCCCATGCCCGTAGTTCTGTGGATAGGGAACTGGGAGGGAAGGGCTATGATCTCACAGAGTGCTCTTGCACAGAGATGGTTTTGTTTCAGGCAGAATCAACCTCCACGCACCTTTTGGACGTTGGAGCAGCACCGTGATGAGAGATGGAGGAGCGTAAGGGAAGTAGGTCTTGAGGGCAAACTTCACCTACCATAGAATAAAAAAAACACATCAATGTTAGGACTGGATGGTGTGTTAAGAAAACACAAAATCTTTCATCATCTGCCCCAAAAGACCCACTAGTAAAAACATGATGAATGTTTTCTCAAACATTTATTTTTTAAAAAAGAGATGTTTCCAGTCACCTTGTAGATATGTTCCAGGAAAATGAGCCTTTTTAAAGTCACCCCTGAGACTTACAAAAAAAAATGAAGTATGAAGTTATGCTCCTGTGTGTTCATGGTAGTCCTTCACCTCCTGTGAACACAGTCACGCATTTTCTGTGTAAGTCAGCTTTTCCAAGGCAGCTATGAGGCGTTGGTATTTCAGCACGGTTTTTACCGACAAAGAAGCATGAAACAAAAATGGCTCATGGTGCCTTGAGGGCCAGAGTGTTGGCTGTGCCCTGAAATGGCACAGAAGCTTTGAAGTACTTTTTAAAAAAACTGAGGTAAAATCTAGAAAAGGTGATGTGAACAGGCTTTCAATGTATGACTTGGTAAGTCTAGGTGAATGTGGAAATCCATGTGACCACCATCCTAATCAAGACAGAAAATTTCTGTCATTCCAAGAAGTTTTCTTGTGGCTCTACCCCACCCTGGCAACCAATATTTTGATTTTAACAAGAAGGATTAATTTTCCTTATTCTTAAATTTCATATGAATAGAATCATGGACTGTCTATTCTTTTCTGTCTGGCTTCTTTGGCTCAACCTGTTTGAGATTCATCTATGTTACTGTGTAGAGTAGTTCATTCTTAGAAAGAGTTACTGTATAAATATGTCATAATATGTTTACTCATTCTCCTGTTGATGAGTATACAGGTCATCTCTAGTTTGGGGCCATTATGAATAAAGCTGCAATTAATGCTCATATTTGTATCTTTCTGAGAATATGTGCTTTCGTTTCAGGTAAAACATAGGGGTGGAATTACTGGGTCACAGCAGATCCTGTTTACATTACCAAACCTGCCACAGAGCTTTCCAAAGTGGCTGGACCATTTCACACCCCACCAGCAATTTAGGGGAATTCCACTTTCTCCCTGCCTTGCAGGCATTTGAGTGTGTCACTCTTACTAATTTTAGCCATTCTAATAGGTGTGCAATGGTACCTCTTAGGGCTTTACTGTGCATTTTCCTGAGGACAACTGATGTTGATCAATTTTCATGTGTTTATTATCAACTTATATATATATTTTTTTGAAGTGTGCATTTAAGTATTTCTTCCCATTTATAAAAACTGAGTTGTGGAGAGGAAAAGAGATGGCAGCATGAGAAGTGGGGCAGAAACCTCTTCCCAAAACCACATATAGTGCAAAAATACACCAAATACAACTAATCCTGAAAGAGTGACCTGAAAACAACAACAGACTTCTTACATCTGGAGAAAAGAGCAGAGCTCACGGAAGTGGGTAAAATAGCAAAGGCACGATCCAGCAGGAACCAGGCCCTCCCTCCACTCCAGCTCACAGGCAGGGGAAAGAGAATCAGAGCAGGACTGCTAAATAACCCACCCCTGGAGATCTGTTCCAGGAGCACAAACCCACATTACATGGTGCTTGAGAGATTGGTGGGGTTGGAAAGCAAAAATGGGAGGAATACTCAGAGAGACTGAGATCCCAGCCACTTACAAGAACAGGTACCCACAACCAGCTGCTCCAGGACCAAAAAAGGTGGGTGCTTGGAAAGACTTCCAAACAGTGAAAGGGCTGTTAAAGGGGCAAGGATTGCACAGAGCTTGCTGCTCAGGAAAAATGATAGGTGGACAAAATTGTCCCAGTGCACTCAGCCCAGCAAGTTTGGAACTTCCAGGAGCCTCGTGTGCTCCATCCCCCTGGCTGGCAATGCAGCCCTAAGGCCTCCCACTGTGATACACAGACAGCCATTCCTTCCTCCCAGCTGACACCAGCTCACAAACCTGCTGCCCCATCATCACACCAGGCCAGTGACAGGGCAGAACTGCCTATGGCAGCAACAGGGGCATAGCACAGCGGCTCCTTGCTGCACACTCAGCCCACTGACCCTAGCAGGGGAGGCAGGCACTACAGCCAGGAAGCAGGAAAGACCTCTTTCCTCCTGACAGGCACTGGCACTGCTCGCCTGTACCCCTGCCATTGCTTCAGGTGCAATTCCAGAGAATAGAGCTTCTAAGCACTACAGGGTGCCACCTACACAAAGCTGTTATTCCACAGAAAACACTAAAAAAATGAAACAGCAAAGGAATTTGGTCCAAGCAAAATTACAAGAAAAAAATGCCAGAAAGAGGTCTCAGTGAAACTGAAATCACCAATCTTCTTGATAAAGATTTCAGAATAAAGGTCATAAACAGGCTCACAGAGCTACAGAAAAATTTTCATGATCTCAAGAACTTCAAGAAAGAGATAGAAACCTTGAAAAATAAAGTACCTGAAATGAAACATACAACAGAGGGATTTAAAAGTAGATTTGATGAGGTAGTGGTGGAGATTTGAGAACAGGAAAACAATGAAGCTGACGCACAGAGAAAAAAGGATCTCTAGGAATGAAAGAATAAAAAAAGAACTGTGTGACCAAACGGAACAATATTCGCATTATAGGGGTACCAGAAGAAGAGAAAAAGGGATTGAAAGTGTCTTTGAAGAAATAATTGCTGAAAACTTCCCCAATATGGGGAAGAAAATATTCTCTCAGGCGATGAAAGTGCACAGATCTCCCAACACAAGGAACCGTAGGAAGATACCACAAAGACATATAATAATTAAAATGGCAAAGATCGAGGACAAGGAGAGAGTATTAAAAGCAGCCAGACAGATAAAAAAGCTCCCTTATAAAGGAAAGCCCATTAGGCTATCAGCATATTTCTCAGCAGAAACCTTACAGGCCAGAAGGGAGTGTCATGATATATTTAATGCAATGAAACAGAAGGGCCTTGAACCAAGAATACTCTATCTGGCAAGATTATCATTTAAATTTGAAGCAGGGATTAAACAATTTTCAGATAAACAAAAGTTTAAGGAATTCACCAACTCTAAGCCAGCACAACAGGATTAAAGGGACTGCTATAAATGAAAGTGCCCCTAAAGCTAAACAGCTGTCACCAGAGAATATAAAATCACAGTAAAGGATGTAGACCAATTAATTACCAAGCAAGTAAAAATTAAATCAGTTACCTACAAAGTCAGTCAAGGGATACACAAAAACTGCAGCATAGGACACCTAATATATAAAGAATGGAGGAGGAAGAAAGAGGGAGGAAAAAAAAGAACCATTAGATTGTGTTTGAAATAGTGTGATAAGCAAGTTAGACTGTTAGATAGTAAACAAGCTACCATTGAACCTTTGGTAACCAAAAATCTAAAGCCTGAAATGGCAATAAGTACATATCTATCAATAATCAACCTTAGTGTAAATGGACTGAATGCACCAATCAAAAGACAGAGATGCAGAACGGTTAAAAAAACAGAACCCGTCTGTATGCTGCCTACAAGAGACTCATTTCAACCCCAAAGACATACAGAGACTAAAAGTGAAGGGATGGAAAAAGATACTTCATGCAACTAATTGGGAGAAGAAAAGCAGGGGTTGCAGTACTTGTGCCAGACAAAATAGACTTCAAAACAAAGAAAGTAAGAAGAGACAAAGAAGGACATTACATAATGATAAAGGAGTCAGTCCAACAAGAGGATATAACCATTATAAATATCTATGCATCCAACATAGGAGCAGCTAAGTACATGAAGCAGATACTAACAGAATTAAAGGGGGAAATAGAATGCAATGCATTCACTGTAAGAGACTTCAACACACCACTTACTCCAAAGAAAGATTAACCAGACAGAAAATATGTAAGGAGACAGAGGCACTGAACAACACATTAGAACTGATGGGCCTAACAAGATAACTATAAAACACTCCACCCAACAGTAGCAGGATACACATTTTTCTCAAGTGCACATGGGACTTTTTCCAGAATAGATCACATACTAGGCCACAAAAAGACCTCAGTAAATTCAGAAGGATTGAAATTGTACCAACCAGCTTCTCAGACCACAGAGGTAGGAAAGTAGAAATAAAATATGCAAAGAAAGAGAAGTCCACAAACACATGGAGGCTTAACAACATGCTCCTAAATGGATCAATGACCCAATAAAAACAGAGATCAAGCAATATATGGAGACAAGTGAAAACAACAACTTAACATCCCAAAATCTGTGGGATGTAGCAAAGGCAGTTCTAAGAGGAAAGTATATAGCAATATAGGCTTATCTCAAGAAAGAACAACAATCCCAAATAGTCTAAACTCACAATTAATGAAACTAGAAAAAGAACAAATGAGGCCCAAAGTCAGTAGAAGTAAGGACATAATAAGGATAACAGCAGAAATAAATTAAAATTGAGAAGAATAAAACAATAGAAAGAATCAATGAAACCAGGAGCTGGGTCTTTGAGAAAATTTAAAAAATAGATAAACCCCTAGCCAGACTTATCAAGAAAAAAAAGAGTGTACACACATAAACAGAATCAGAAATGAGAAAGGAAAAATCACTACAGATACCACAGAAATAAAAAAATTATGACAGAGTACTATGAAAAATTATATGCCAACAAATTATAGATAACCTAGAAGAAATGGACAACTTTCTAGAAAAATAGATCCTTCCAAGCCTGACCCAGGAAGAAGCACAAAACTGAACAGACCAATTACCAGCAATTAAACCAAACTGGTAATCAAAAATCTACCTAAGAACAAAACCCCTGGACCAGATGGCTTAACCACTGAATTTTATCAAAAATTTAGTGAAGACCTAGTACCCATCCTCCATAAAATTTTCCAAAAAGTAGAAGAGGAGGGAATACTTCCAACTCATTCTATGAGGCCAGCATCACTGTAATACCAAAACCAGGCAAAGATACCATAAAAAAAGAAAATTACAAACCAATATCGCTGATTAATACAGATACAAAAGTCTTCAACAAAATATTAGCAAACTGATTTAAAAAATACATCAAA